GGTTAAAAGGTAAGAAAAACTGTTGTAGGAACAGAAAATGGTAAAATTATTATTGATGAATTTTCAATTAAGATTCCAGTTATACTATACGCTGCTTTACAAAATGTTTTATTGGTAAATGAAATAACTACATTTTCTAAAGAAAAAAAGTATACTTTTATTTTTAAAGCGTGGCAAATGATTGAGGAAAGAAATATAAAAGGAAAAACTATTAAAATTAATGTAACAAATGAATATCGAAGTAAAAATCTTCCTACGTTTTGTGGTTTTGGATTTCAAACAAATAAATTAAATACTCAAGATCATGATCCTGGTGAATTTGATAATTGTCGTCTTAGAAGCTATAGGCTTGAAATAAATGGAATAAGTTATCCTGCAGAACGTCAAGATGAAGATTTAAATAATAATAAGTTTTGTCAATCTTATGATGATTTAATCTCATATAAATTAACTTATCATAAAAATAGTCAAGAACTTCCATTGATGTATAATGATCCAACTGATTTTAAGGAATATAGATTAATATTTCTTACTAAAACAGTTTATCAACCAGAAAATATCCTTTTTAATAAACAAAATATTATTTTACATATTGAGTTACATGAAGATTTACCTAAAGATACAATTTGTTATATTTTTTTCATAAGAGAAGATGAATTTTTGTTTGATGTTGAAAGAGGTACTATTGAAGAAATATAAAAATATAAAAAATATAAAAATATAAGAAAGAAAGAGTTGGAGTAATAGGAGTACTCCAACTTTTATCTCCTAGTGACTATTATTTTCAATAGAATATTTCTATTGAAAAATAATTTAATATTTATTCTTTAATTAAATCAAGATAAACAATAAAATCATCATTATCAAAAACATATTTTTTACCATTTTGATCTATAATATCTATTTTTATTTCTTGAAAATGTCCTTAACTGGTATATATATTATTGAATTAGTTTTTGTATATGGATTATCATAATCATAATAAAAATTATACAAAATATCTTCCTCGATGTGATGACTATCCTTAACAGATGAAAAATATTTTTCAATTATATTGCAATGTACTTCTAATAATCGTTTATTTATATTATTATTATTTAAGACTTCTCCAATGTGTTTATATAAAAAATACATTTTATCAATCCCTAAACTTGTTTTAAAATTTTGATCCATCAAAAAATCAGTTTTTGAAGTAATAGTAATACAATTATTATAATTTTGTAATTTAATATATGATGGTAATTTACTATTCAATTGATCAATTGAATAATTTCCCTTTATCATAGTTTTAATGTTATTACTTCGACTCGTTATAACACCATTACAATTTTTAAAAAAACCTTGTGTATAATAATTTATGGAATTTCTTAAATAATTATCGATATCATAATTATGCAAGTTAGTATCAATATTTAATTTATTTTTTTAATTTATTGTAATTATTATATCATCATTTCTATCAGTATTCAATATTGCTTCTAATTCAGCTAATGAATAAATACCAATATATGTATTTTATAAATTGTATTTGAATTTACATCTTCATTATATATTTTAATCTGATATTCTTTCTCTATATTTATATATTGATCATTGGAAGTAGGAACATACATCGCTGATTTATTAATAGTTAATAAAAAATCAATTGTTATGTTTTGAAAGCCTAAATAATTTTTTAAATTTTCATCTAAATTATAATAACAAGGAGATTTTATTTCAATTTTTTTATCATTTATTATATATTATTATTATTATTTAATTCAAATTGTATCAATTGCTTTGTGCTTCCGTTATCTAAATTTTGCAATTCATTATTAACAAGATTAATTTTTTTCGAACTTAGATTATATAACGAAATAATTTTTTTTGTAAACACATCTAAAAATCTATCTGGTAAAAATACTTGCAATTTTTTATCTAATATAACAACTATTGTCTTACCATAAATTGTATCAATATGTTTGAAACGAGTAACCTCATATTTTTTTCCGTTTTCTAAGTCACATACTTTTACAAAATCATATTGATCGTTGCATTTATTTAAAAGTATTTTCAAATTTTCCATTTCTATTATTTATTATAATAGAGATGTATTTTTTTTTTTTAATCGCGTATTTAAATTATATTTATTTCTAAATAACATAACAATATTAATCTTTACGGACATAATAATATTAATATCTGTCTGTCTGTCTGTCTGTCCGTCTCATGCAGGCGCGGATCTATGGGGGGGGGGGGTCATGGGGGTTATGACCCACCCCAAAAAATCAAAATTAAGTCCTTTATTTTTATTTAAAAATTAAAATATGCAGAAATTGTGATTTTAATGTTTCACAGATTTTTTTTTCAAAAAAAAAAATATATAAAAATATAATATATAGAACATATTTTATTTATATATTATATTATATAGGTACCTACAGGCTACAGCCTGCATTTAAACTAAATCACCACATGTTCATAAAATCATTATTTCCAATAAACATATATTTTCTAAGAATATTAATAGTGTTTATAAACTGATTGACGATTGACAATAATTAATAAGAAATCGGCGGAAATATTATTTTCAACCCGTATAATAATATAAGGTACAATTACACTTACCTACAGTCTACACACGACACGCGTACGTCTATATATTATATAGGTACTTGGAATGGCGACGCAGCCACCGCTAATCACTAATTTGCGTTCTAATAATTTGTTACAAAATTGAATATACCATATACAACGTTAAATGTTTGACTGCTTATTGAATCATTTTATTTTGCTGTGAACGTCTGGGACACGTGCATCAGTCGTCGAGTACGAAAAAAAACTATGGTGAGTATATAATTATAATTATTGTAATAATCGATACAATTCCTATTCGAATGAAGTTTCAATCGAGCATTTCATTATTCAAATGATTATAATGTATAAGCTAATAGTTTATATTAGGAGTCTACAACCTTTTTATGCAATGGACCTATTATTTTCTAGAAATCTTGAGGGACACATCCGTAGTAAAAACATGTATTTTGTACAAAAATTAAGTTTATATAATTTATAACATACTAACATATAATTGAATTTTAAATTTTAAATTCCAAATTATTTATTTTTCATTATTAAAATAAAGTACGAACTAATTCATAATATGTTTATAGCGATATCTTATCGTCATTAATTATAAGTTAATTATATTTGATTAAAATTATAGAAAAAATACAAGCTATATGTAAAATGTGATCCCGCAATGCAGTAGCAATTATGAAATGTGTAGCAACAAATTAAAAAGTGTGCAATACTTTTATAACATTTTTAATATATCTTTATTTATAATGCAAATTCACTTTTTTGATTCATAAATCTTAAGTTTCTCGTCATATATCAAGGACTTTTATTTTATAATTATCATATTCAACGGCAACATGGTTGATTGTTAATACTTAAATAGGTTGTTACTGGTATAGTTTAATATTGGTAGCACAATAAAAAAAAAATAATATTATAAATATAATTTTTTATATTTGTTAAATGATAAAATATTTAATAAGTAGTAGTGATTTTGATTTCTGATATATTATTTATTCTATACCAATAGAAAATTACTTATAATCTATAGGTATACAAAAATAACTAAAATTATAAATATCCCTCTGTAAAAACATTTTGCATTCCCTATTTAACTATAGTTTTTTTTTGTATTTTCATTTTATCTTAGTATAAAATGTTTGAAATGTCTTTCTGTATTTTATGTAGGGTGATTCATTTAAAAGAAATAGCGGGTCGGTAAGTAAAATAGACAAATTCTTCAGTAAGAAGAAAAAACTTGGGTCTGACAATCGACAAAACGAGTCATCTATATCTACTTTGGTACCTAATTCTGACCATAGAAATAATTTGGCGATTGACATTCCGTGTACGAATACGTTATCTGCATCTAAATCTGAACAGAAAAACGACTCCCATATCAATTTTGATTACTCTTCAGATATTGGTTGTTTTATAGGAAACAAAATAAGGCGTAGGGAAAGTAGCGTGCCCATCGCCCAGTGTACCTTAATAAGTACACTGCAATAACCCTACACTGACCTTAAGTGGTTGGGGTAGTCTGGTCCTCCAGGTTGGGGGTTTAGCGCAGGGTTAACAACTCTGCCTAGTAAAACAAATTCTGTTCAGGACTCTAACACCAAGCCTCGGGATAGATTATTTGGAAAAAAAAATGGAAACTGGAAATCGGATTTATTTTGTGGTACTTGGAATTTACGAACTTTATTTGAACAAGGAGCAACATTGAATTTAGTAAGAGTAGTAGAGAAATATAAAATAAGATGTATTGCCCTGCAAGAAGTGAGATGGGAAGATGCAGGATCTAGTAAAATATCTCAAACAACATCATTAACGGAAGTAGTAAACAAGGACATAGATTGGGAACTGGTTTCGCGATACATGAATCAATAATCCACATGGTGAAGGACTTCAGAGATATTAGCCCAAGAATCTTCACGCTAACGTTAAAGACCAGAGATTTCCGAATAGTTCTAATTAATGCTCATGCACCAACCGAAGAAAACGACGATGAAGAGAAGGAAGAGTTCTATTCTACACTAGAAGACACAATGGATACAGCAGTTGGTGATGTTAAAATTGTTCTAGGGGATTTTAACGCTAAAATTGGCAAGGAAGCGCTGTATAGAGTGGTAATTGGGACACATAGCCTACATGAGGTTTCGAATGACAACGGTATGAAACTGATTAATTTTGCAGTAGGAAAAGGACTATGTATAAAAAGCACTATGTTCCCTCGCAAGGAGATACATAAGTACATATGGATATCACCTGATGGAAAATATAAGAATCAGATACACCACGTTCTGGTAAATGAGAGATTCAAGAATGGAATTACTAATGTTCGAATATTACGTGGGGCAGACTCTGATTCTGATCATTTACTAGTGGGTTTTTGGGTACGTATAAAGCTGAAAAAGCATAATAAATGTAATACAACATGCATGAGAAGATATGACGTAGAGAAGTTGGAAGACAAGAGGTTTCTCAAGGATTATAACAACACAATCAAGAAGATTTTTGAAGAAAAGCGGATAAAACATACCAGCAATGTGAATGAAATATGGAATAAAGTCAAAGATTCTATTGAAACAGCAGCGACGGGAGTTATAGGAACAAAAAGAAATGTATCAAAAGTGTGGTTCAATAAAATATGTGAGGAAGCAATACGGAGAAGAAAAGCTGCTCGTGAAGGATGGTTAAAGGATACGGATAATGAGATAAAGAGAACAAGGTTCATCACACGACGAAAGGAAGCAGATAAGATTCTAAGGTGTGAGAAAAGAAAATTTGTATGTAACTTACTAGAAAGGGCGGAACAAGATTTTAAAGCAAATAAAACACGTGATATGTATAAGACTATTAAGAATTTAAGTGGAGACTTCAAAAGAAGCGAACGATTTATTAGAGATAGTAATGGATCCTTGGTTACTACAAATGAAGGTATAGCTAAAGAATGGGAGAAATATTTTGAAGAACTACTGAACTGTGAAGAACCAGACGAATTGTTCATGTTTGACCTAGGAAATATAAACAACCAAGAATGTCCAGAGCCAACTCTAGAAGAAATAGACTTACAAATAAAGAATCTGAAAAATAATAAGTCTCCAGGTGAAGATGGGTTCCAGGCTGAATTACTTAAAAATGGAGGGGAGGACGTGACACAATGGATCTGGCAAGTGATTAAACAAATATGGGTAACAGAAGAATTTCCAGAAGATTGGAAAACGTCCCTGATTTGCCCAATACATAAAAAAGGAAATAAACAAGACCGTAATAATTATAGGGGAATAGCCCTATTGAATGTGGCGTACAAAGTGTTCTCAAATTGTATTCTAACAAGAATAAAAGAAAAAACAGAACAGACAATTGGTGAATATCAAGGTGGTTTTAGACCGGGGAAGTCAACGACGGACCAAATATTTATTATTAGACAATTATATCAAAAAACGTGGGAATTCGATAGGGAGATACATACGCTATTCGTTGACTTCAAAAAAGCATACGACAGTATTCATAGGGAAAGTCTCATAAATATTCTAAAAGAGTTCGATTTTCCCCAGAAGCTGGTCAATCTAGTTTCAATTAGCATCATGGAAACCGTGGTCAAAATAAAAGTCGGAAATGTGAAGTCTGATCTAGTGACAGTAAAATCCGGCCTTAGACAGGGTGATTCAATCTCACCTATTCTCTTCAACCTGGTATTGGAAAAAGTAATAAGAGAAATGAAAATTGAACCCCACGAAGGAATAAAACTCCGGAACTCGACTATTCCATTATTGGCATATGCCGATGATATAGTACTGATGGACGAATCTCAAGATGGAGTTAAACGGCTCTGTGGCAGACTAAATGACGCAGCACAGAAAGTAGGACTACAAATTAATGAACAAAAAACTGAATATATGATTATAGGTAGACAAAATTGGATGGATCAAGTTTTGGAGGTAGATCATTTTAAATTTAAGAGAGTGAATTCTTTCAAATATCTTGGCTCAATTGTGACTGAAAAAAATGATATCACCAAGGAAGTAGCCGCGAGAATCCAAGCGGGAAACAGGAATTATTATGGTTTGGAGAAACTATTAAGTTCTAGATCATTATCAAGAGAGATAAAGAGACGTTTGTATACTAGTCTAATACGGCCAGTGATATTGTACGGATCGGAAACATGGGCACTAAGGAAATCAGATGAGAATAAGTTCTTAATACTAGAAAGGAGAATATTACGAAAGATATTCGGCCCAATAAAAGATAACATCACAGGAGAGCGGAGAAGAAGAAAAAACATAGAGCTACAAGAAATTTTTAATGAAAATAACATAGCAGAGACGATCAAGAAAAAAAGATTGCGGTGGGCAGGACATGCAATCCGAAGCCAGAACTCTTTACTAAGAATGGTTCTAGAACAGAATCCAGTAGGAAAAAGGCCCTTGGGAAGACCAAAATTGAGATGGGAAGATTTAGTTAAGAGGGATATAGAAGACTTAGGAGGCGGAGCAAACTGGAAGGATTTGGCGATGAATAGAGATGCCTGGAGAATTGGTTGTGAGACGGGATGGTCCTAGCGGCCGATTAACCCAAGGAGAAGAAGAAGAAAATAGGAAACAAAAGCATTGACAATTCTTCTAAAGCTAATCTTCTTGAAAAACACTGGATGCCACCTATAAATTACGAATTTCCTTTTTGTGTGGTCACCAAGAATGGAAAACAAACCAAAAAGTACGCTCAAAGATCACATCTTAATAAATTCCATTGGCTCGTTTTATCACACAAAGACCAGGGTCTGTATTGCAAGTATTGTGCTCTATTTGATTCAGGCTCAGGTGGTGGAGTTCAAACAAATACGCCTCTTAAACGGCTTGTTAAACAACCTTTAAAAGCTTTTGATGACCTACTTGGAGAAAAGGGGTCTCTATTAACACACCAGCGAAATAAATATCACCAAATGTCGGTCGAAGCTGGGAAAAGTTTTCTTGTAACTTACCATAACCCTGACCTTAATGCTGCTAACCAAGTCTGTAAGCAGCGAATGGCGCAGGTAAAAGAAAATAGAGATCGTTTGCTACCAATTGTCAGTACAATTGTATTATGTGGCTGCCAAAATATTCCCCTGCGTGGGCATAGGGACGACGGAAAAATAATTCTAAATGTTGACAAAAATGAGCAAAATAGCGTGGTAGCAAATCAAGAGGGGAATTTTAGAGCTCTCCTAAGGTTTCGTATCGAGTCAGGTGACTCAAATCTGCGTCAACATTTAGAAGTAGCAAACTCCAATGCAACATATATCAGCAAAACAGTGCAAAACGAACTGATCGATACATGTAAAGATTTGATTCAAGAAGCTATGTTAGCTAGAGTAAAGGAAGCGAAATTATTTTCATTAATATTTGATGAAACAACTGATATCTCTCACACTGAGCAGCTGAGTGTCTCCATTCGATATTTCTATAATGGAGTAATCAAGGAGGATTTTTTTTAACTTTTTGCGATGCTTACGAGATGATTCATTTTGAGGACGCAAGAGCAGAGCATCGTTTGACAGGCGTTGAATTGTCACGTATAGAACAATTCTATTAAACAATTAAATTAATAATATAGTTATGTTCTAAACATTTTGTGATCGGAATCTGTACCTCCCATGCGAAGACAACATATTTTAATATTTTCTAAATCTTAAACAACACAAATATCATTTAGATATTTGAATCTAAAAGTACTGGTTGTAATTATTAAATCATTTGCTATTTTACAAATTTCAAGCCATGTTGGCGATTCTAGTATTTTAGAAGCATAAGGCTTTCCAGAAACATTGTGTCCATGATCGACAATTAAAATATTTCCTTTAATTGGAATATTATTTAGATTATATTTCATGATTTCAATATTTTTTTTTATTATTATTATTAAAGTATTCATATTTACAGAACTTAACAAAGATTTCATTATTTAATATTGATTTTTCTATTTCGTTTTGCATTTCATTTTCTTGTATCTTATTAAATTTTTTTATAGTTTTCATTCTTTTATTATACATTTCAATTCCTTTAACTCAGGTATTCAATTTCTTTTTAATACATTTTTTACATTTCGATTTTTATTTTTAATAGAACAATTCTATTAAAAAATATTTTTATTATTTTTGCATTTCATAAGTTTTGGAAAAATATTTTTATTATTCTTGCATTTCATAAGTTTTGCGAAAAATATTTTTATTATTATTGCATTTCAATTTTCTGATCTTTTTGCACATTGTTTTCTTTGTGATCTTTTATTGATATAAAATAGAGGTGGCCCAGGAATGGTACTACAGTACTACTGTTACATACACAAATTATTTCAGAATTAGTTATATAACTTAATAGTTAACTAATTGTAGGCGGTGATACTTTTACGCCGAACCATTATCAATCAACATAAATCATAAACATAAGATTTAAAGAAACTTTATTTGACATCGGAATATTAAAAGTTAAAACATAATTCATAAAGCAACAACAAAAAAACGTTCATAAGTAGGGCTCGGAAGTTGTTGCATTGAAAATCATGAAAATATGCACAAAAAAGTTATATGCACTGAAGTATGCGTTGAAATATGTAATTCAATTATTATTTTTATTTTAAATATAATTTAATAAATAATAATTAATAATTTAAATAATACAAATGTGAATAAAATTTAGTATTAGTACGTATTTACACTATGCATAGTCAAAAGTTTCAGTTTGCAGAGTTTCTTTCGAAAACGTTTTATTCCGAGTTTTCTGTCTCTGAAAAATTAAAACAATTTTCTTTAAGTACCTATATTTACTTGTTTATAGTGTTGTATATTATTTTACCTTGGAAATTGCATTGAACGATTTTTTTTTTTGATATTTTCGAATTTGAACGATTGTCGATTGGAAGTGAGTAAATTTTTGTACGCTGAAAACGAACGATCTACGTCAGAATAACGATAGGTACAATAATAATTCGGGAAACTTGCCGATATCGGGCGACATGAGTGGCGCTCGTCCGATAAATTTGATAGCCGCGGTCGAGGAAGATTTCGACAATACCTACACATCGAATCAGTCTTAAACAACAATCATGTCACTTGCCAGTCTGTCAATATAAGAAAAGAATTTATAGAATTGCTGATAGATACTGGTTAACTTAATACAATTTAGTTATAGTTAGCATATTAAATGTTTCCGAAGTAACGAAGGAAATAAATGAAAGTATAATGAATCGAATATTATATGATACCGCGATGAGTTATAATATACATACGGTACATGCCGAGATTAACAACGATAATCGTGTAAATAGAATCCTTAATTTAATACGAAGTGATCATATGAGTATTGATGAAATATGTGAGCAATATTCCGAAATATTCCATTTAGAAGGCGATCGACTCACTTTTACAAATGCAGCTGAGCATGTCATTAATTTAAACGTTAATCAACAACCCATTTATTAAAGACCATATAGGTTGCCACATTCACAACAATCCGAGATTAAACAACAACTAGATAAAATGGAACAGGATGGAATTATAGAACCTTCTAGTTCACCTTGGAACGTCCCGCTCTTACTTGTTAAGAAAGAACTGGATGCAAGTGGTAAAGAAAAGTTTCGCATCGTGATAGACTTTAGAGCTTTAAATCAAGTGACTTTGAATGAATTTTATCCCTTACCTAACATCACGGAAATACTCGATCATTTAGGACAATGTCAATTGTTCAGCGTGATTGACCTTGCCTCAGGCTTTTATCAAATTTCGTTATCAGAATGTTCACGTGAACTTACAGCTTTTTCTGCGAATAATGCACACTACCACTTTAGGCGAATGGCGGTGGGGATGAAAACTAGCCCCTCGACATTCCAGAGACTTATGGATAATGTATTATCTGGAATAATTGGAATTAAATGTCTAGTATATCTTGACGACATAATTATTTATGGGAAAATTTGATAGATCACAACAATAAGTTAGTAGATGTATTCGAGCGATTACGAACGCATAACTTAAAGATTCAACCAGATAAATGCGAGTTTGTTAAACGGGAATGTATATACTTAGGGCATGTTATATCTGAAACAGGAATAAGACCTGATCCAAAGAAAATCCAAGCTGTTCTTGACTTCCCTGAACCTAAAAATGTAAAACAAATTAAATCATTCCTAGGATTATCTGGATATTATCGGAAGTTCATTGAAAACTACAGTTCAATAGCTAGGCCTATAACGAATTTATTAAAGAAAGATGTACCGTTTATTTGGAATGAAGACTGTGATAGGGCTTTTGGAAAATTAAAACACGCTTTATGTACGGAAACTGTATTGCAATACTCAGATTTCACGAAAGAATTTATACTAACAACAGATGCTAGTGGGAAGGTTTTAGGAGCCATAAGCGATCATAGACCACTAGCTTGGTTATTTAATTTAAAGGATAATTTATCAAAATTAGCTAGGTGAAGGATACAGTTAGAACAGTACGATTATGTTATTAAATATAAACCAGGAGTACAAAATGGTAACGTAGATGCTTTATCAAGAATGTTTACTATACAAGATATAAAGGAGGAAAGCTATAACAATTTTCTTGTAAAATTCGAAACCACATTGATAACCAATGGAAACGTTAAGGAAGTACATGGAGAATTGTTAGAATCACTATCTGACTATCACATAGTTACTGAAATTAAGTCTGATGTTAAGGATTACATTAAGAAATGTGAGTCCTGCCAAAATAACAAAGTCACGAATCGGAAAGTTAAACAATCAAAGGTTATAACCACCACAAGTTCAAAGCCATTCGAAAAAATATTTCTAGACAAAGTAGGAGCATTAGTAACTACTGTTTCTGGAAATACCTATATTTTAACAATGCAGGATGATTTAACCAAATTTTCATTGGGAGTACCATTACCAAATCACACAGCCAATAATGTCGCTGAAGCTTTTGTCGTACATTTTGTTTGTATCCATGGAATGCCAGAGACCATATTAACTGATCAAGGGACAGATTTTCTAAGTAAAACATTCACAGAAGTATGTAAACTTTTAAAAATTAATAAGATTAATACTAGCCCGTATCATCCACAAACCAATGGGGGATTGGAAATATCACACAGAACTTTAGCAGAATATCTTAGGCATTACGTAGACAAGAATTTAAACACCTGGGATCAATTATTACCTTATGCGTTATTCGTTTATAATTCAACAGAACACTCATCCACAAATTATCAGCCATATACCTTGTTGTATGGAAAGGAAATAAATATTCCAGTAAATTTGGAAAGTAACCCCGAACCTAGATACAATTACGATGATTACCTGTATGATTTGAAACAAAGAATGCAGGAATCTCATAAAATCCCTAAGGAAAGATTAATCAAACAGAAAATCAAATCAAAAGCTAATTATGATAGTAATGCACATAGTGTAGAGTTGCATGTAAAAGACTATATATTGTTAAATTGTTAAGAGATAAAACCCAAAGAAATAAATTGACACCGTTATGGAAAGGGCCTTTCGAAATTTTAGAAGTGTTAGACACTGAAAATATTGTTAT